CTCCGGATCTCCGCCTCGGTCGCCAGAGCCCTCGGCTCCACCCTGGCCCCCCGGATCCTTGGCATCCCCCTGACTCGTTGGCTCTCTGCCTCGGGCTTCTCCACCACCTGCTCCGCCGCCGTTGGTCGGCCCCCTGGAGTCGGTGGCCATTCCACCTCCATGGCTCCTCCCTCCGTCGGCTCCACCGTGGGTCGCCATCATGGCTGTGGCCTTGGCCTGGGTCCTGCTTGGCTCCTCATGCTCTGGGCCCCTCCTGTCTCCTCCCTGGCTCCTCTCTCCTTCGTCGCATCCCTGGTCTCTGTCTGTCGGCCCCCTCCCGGGTGTCCGTCCTCCTTCTGAGCCTCCTCCTTAGTTCTCACCCATTCCCCCCTCTGTTGTTCTACGGTGCAAGGACGCACCTTCCGGGAGGGGGGCGATATGTTAGGATTCTAGACTGTCTATGTTCTGTTTTGCCCCTGTTTCTGTTCTAGTGTTCCCTTATTTGGTCTTGTTCCTGTCCTCGTTTAGTTTAATTAGTCATCCTGTACACCTGTATCTTCCCAATTATCCTGTGTATTTAGCCCCAGTCTGTGCAGTCTGTGTTTGTCGGTTCTTAATGTCATTGTGCCATGTGTGACTCCTGGCTACCCTGTGTTTCCTCCTGTGGATTATTAAAGACGGTTCTGTGTGAAATCCGTCGTTTCCTCGTTCCTCGCTACTCACAGTAGGCAACCGTGACAGTATAAAACATGATATGGATTTCTATTTTGCTATTATGATTTCTGTTATGATTAGAATTAGTGGCTTTGAAGAACAGTCTGTGTTTTTATCTCTAATATACATTTACATTTATTCATTTGGCAAATGTATTTATCCAAAGTGACATTCAAATGAGGAACATAATGAGCTAAAGCTATGGTGATAAAATATCTTGTGAAATGGTTCTGTAGTGCTTTTTATTTGCAAACATGAAAAGTCAGAGTGGGCTTATAAAATATGGTTTTCATTTAAACCCACATGTGTTCCAAACAAGCCCATAATCTATGTTTAATGCTTTACTTTTGATTGAATAAACACTTCAGTTTGTAATATTTTTATCAGTAATGAACTAATTCAATAATTTCTGGTCATATGTATTATTAATTATATTTATTAATTTATTCTTATAAATTTTGAATCACAAATGAATCACTCGTCAGAGTTGGTTCCTTTCAATGAACTGGTCAAACAATAGCAAACTTTTAAAGACAGAGAACAAATAAACGCTGTATGAAGTGAAATATTTACCTACAATTAATTGAAACAAACCTGCAAATGCATCCAATCTTTCGACAGCGATGCTGAAAGTCTTTATTACATTCGCATAGCTACAGGTGGGCCTGCATTCAGTCAGGCCCATCTGGTCAGTTGCATCACAAGGTAATAAGGTAATGAGTGAATTCTGTTGCAATTATCACAATACCTGACCTATAAAAATAATTTGTATTGTTTTTTGATATAATGTTAGTTTTGTGAGCAGTAGTGCCGTAGTCAGATTGTGAACAGCCCATTGCCCCTATAGAAAATCAAGTGGGCCTAGCTTAGTTTGTTTTTGTGAATTGTGGGGACTCTCCATAGGCGTAATGGTTTTTATACTGTACAAACTGTAGGTGCTATTGCCCTACAAACAACCCTACACCTAAACCTACCCCTTACAGGAAACTTTAAGCATTTTTACTTTATCAAAAAAAACTCACTCTGTATGATTTATAAGCGTTTTGAAAAATGGGGACATGGGGTAATGTCCTCATAAGTCACCTTCTCCTTGTAATACCCATGTCATTATACAAATTTGCGTCCTCATGTCACAAAAACGCACGCACGCACACACACACACACACACACACACACACACACATATGTTGTCACTGTTATTGGCTGGTGTGCCTTAGATGGCCACCAGAGGTCAATGTGTCTGTTTGTTGAGCACATGGCTTATTGTTTGTTGTTGGTGCCATGTTCTATTGTGTCTATTGTCTGACCCCACCCTTCTTGTTATCTCATTATTGTTTCAGTTACTCCACCTGTGTCTCCCTCCTTACCCTCCTCGTTTGTGTCCCTATTTATTCTCCTGGTATCTGCATCCTGTGCTGTTTCGTTGTTTATGTCTGAGAGTCATTGTTGTGTGTATGGTATGTTTCCCTTGCCTTGCTGTGCCCTGTCCTGGCCTGCCTGCCTGTTTTTCCCCCTTGGGGTAGTTTTTGTTGTTTATTTTATTGTTAATAAAAGCCCGTTCGTTCCTGCAGTTGAGTCCTCGCCTCCTCTCTCTTCCCGGACCATGACACAAGGCTCTGACAGATGCAACACCATCAAATCAGCAGGACAGTAGTGCATAGTACAGTAGTGGACAGTATGTAAAAAACAATGCATGGTCATTGTCTGGCTCAGCGGCCAAATAAACCACATAAAATAACAGTAACTAGGCAACTACATAGTAGATTGGCTTACTTTTGATGATTATAACAGGATACAATGGGGCTTAGAGTTGAACACTGCAATGATTTTGTTATATACCAATGATTCAGTCAATTCTCTTTCAAAGGAGAGTAGGGACAAAGAGTTTAGTCTATGTGTCAACAATGCTGCTCTGATACCAGTTTTAATCCGGGGGAAATGGTTATTTATGGGATTAATTTATTTCTCAGGTCATCTTGATGCTTAGGAAAGACTGCCTTCCACTCTCCAATATCTGTTGACATAACATAGTTCAAAGAAAACCCTTCCCCAATTCTACTTTTGCATATTTTGCATTCATATTTGCATTCAGAACTAACCTTCTATTTATATTGCAAGACAGGTTTCTGCATATCTTTTATTTTGCATGTACGATCATAGTGATAATTATCATGTCACAGTTACACATCCTAACGGCCAACAACTGTTACATTCCCAGGTTAGAATATTGTACATACATACTGCTTTCATGAAAATGCATTTTGTTTAAAAACAGCTGCTTTTGTGTATTGTTGTGCTTTTCCAGCAAGGTCGGCTCTACCAATGTATTCTAGTGCAGTATGTTTCTACATTACTTTTTGTTAGCTTTACATTATGCTAGCTAACTCATTAAAACATGAATACATTACTCATATAATATTATGTCAGAATATGTACTTTGTAGCTCGTCTGGGAACTTGATGTACTCATTCCATACTGTGTAATTTAATGGTTAATGCATAGAATTCTGGGAATGTCTATTTGATCATAAACTATAAATCATATTATTATATGGAATTAAGTAAAAGTATACACACCATTTTTATATTCATTTTCCATGAAAATTACTAACATTTATTGTGTGCTTGATGAGTTGGACAAATGTTGTTGTCCTTATGCTTTGTGTTACCACATTTTTAAAGCACATTAGAATTTACAAATGCACATTTGAGGTATGACTTTGCGAATTTATGCAGTAAAACAAATTCTGATAGTGATTAGCTTCATATGATAAAGTACCACAGTACCACAGTAATTGCTTTCTCTGTTCATATTCCAAAGTTCATATTAAATGGATTTCTATTTTGCATGCATGATGATTTGCAGGCTCTGAGGAAAATAGCTTGAAACGTCCTAAAATTGTTATCTCTGACATGAAAAACCAACCAATAGTTAAGTTATTTTCAAGTTTGTTTCAACTTGTGGACTTGTTGCGCTAACTACACAAGTTTTCTCCTTTTCCTTAAATGTAAACGATGGCAAACACCAACCAAGCAGATACCGGGCTAGTTGAGCATGACTACAACTTAAATGCTCTCGCAGAGGCATGTGATGAAGAAGAAATTGAAGATATGATGGTAGAAACTGCCAAAACAAGACATGACCATATACCTCTGCCCAGCCCGAATCCTACGAAAGTAAGATCAAAGGCGAAAGACAAAGTTAAACAAACAGACGAAATAACAAATTAAGTGATTTTCGATGCAATTCAAACTCTAATTAAGAGATTTGACGAGCAAGATCAGCGACTGAAAATAATTTAAAAGACAATGGAGGAAAATGCACATGCAGTTAAAGAGATTAAAGAAGACATTGGCAAACTGAAAAAGGAAGTAGCAGACTTGAGGAAAGGGAACATCTCGCTGAGACAGCAGTGTTTGGAGCATGCCAGGTACAAAAGAAGATGGGATCTCAGGCTGATCGGTCTTCCAGAAAAGGAAAAAGAAGTCACAAGAGAAACGGCGATCTGAATTCTTACCCGGGTGATTCCTTGATCCGTGGAGAAGCTCCGGCAGTCGGTGGATACCGTGCATCGGTTAGGATAAAGAAACGACGCCGCTACTAACAAGTTAGCCAGGCCAGTGATCATTCAGTTTGCAATGCGGACTGTGCGTGATGAAGTGTGGAAAAAATCAAGAGAGGCAAGAGTGTGTAAAGAGATGAACATACAATTCAAAGAAGACTTTTCAAAGGAAGATCGCGAAGCTCGTGCTAAGTTGTGGCCAAAAGTGCAAGAAGCCAGAAAAAACGGGAAGAGAGCCTTCCTAAAAGAAGGCTATGCACTTATTGATGGACTCAGAGTTGACCCGTAACTGATGATCACAAGTTAACACGTAGACTCGTTAAAGTATTCAAGATTGCCGCATATCAAATGGACATAATCTGATAAAACTGTTTAAGAAAAGGTGTTTAACTAAAGGCAATACTGTATGTTTCAGTTGGTATGGTTTTGTTATAGAGTTATTAAGGACAACATGTTCACTCCTGCGTACAAAGTTGAGTGTGTGCTGAGAGATGAGACGGTTATACATTAATTTAATTTATGTCTATTTCTTTTCTAGCTTTGAATGCTAGGGGGTTAAAAAAAACAGTATGAAGCGTAAAGCTATTTTTTGTTTTATTTTGCAAGGAATAAAAAGCGAACTGTGTTTTCTTACAAGAGACTCATTCTGCATTAAATTATGAAAGATTTTGGAAAGTTCAGGGTGATTTAGCCTTGTTTGCACATGGATCTTCACATTCAGCTGGAGTGATGGTATCATTTAACAGATTTGACGGCTCTGTAATTGTTCATAAAGGGGACACAGAAGGCCACTGGTTAATGATAGCAGTAGAAATTCATGACAAATGTTATATATTACTCTGTATTTATGGTTATAATAACAAAGTGGCTAATAGAGAAATGTTTAAGAAACTTGGTAAATTGGTAAATTAATGGGGGAAAAAAAGTATAATGCAGAAAATGTGATAATAGGGGGTGACTTTAATATAGTCCCTGATTTATGGCTAGACAGGAGACCTCAAAGAGGTTCACATTATGTGTATAATGATACTATATTAAATTTCTGTAAAACTGTAAATGTGGTTGATTACTGGAGGGTATCTAACCCAAACAGCATTCAGTATACATGGTTTAACTCCTCAGGAAATGGACAATGTTCGAGATTAGATTATTGGCTTATTTCTTGTGAACTATGTAAAATTGTCTCGGAATGTAAAATTACAGCTGCCCCACTTACAGATCACTGTATGGTTACTCTGTCCTTATCAGTCTTTAAGAAACCTCAAATTTCTCCTAATATTTGGAAGTTTAATAATGACTTGTTAAAGAATGATAGATTTTATCAACAGGTGTTGGCTCTCATTGAGGAGATTGAAAAGCTAGATATGTCTAAATTAAATAAATGGGAATGTTTTAAATTTAAGGTTAAACAAATAGCAATTGATATAGGCACATTTTTATCAGTGAGGAGAAAACAGAAACAAAGGGAACTGATTGGAGAAATAAACTCATTGGCAGTTAATACACAAGAATCACCAGAAAATTCAGCAAAATTACAGTCACTGCAATCTCAACTTGATGAGTTGTATTCAGAAAAAGCAAATGGAGCTTATATTCGATCAAGGGCGCGGTGGATTAAAAAGGAGAAAAAAAGTTCATATTTTTTTGGCCTTGAAAAACAAAGACAAAGAAAAAAATTAGTAAGCTTAAGATTAATGAAATTATAACAGGTGATCAAAAAGTAATTCAAAATGAAATTTTGAACCATCCCTCTTGCTTTAAAACAATTAATACAAAACACTCGTTCGTATTCAAATGTATCTGTTAAATTGCCCGAGTTAAAGATTGGAGAAGTATATATTGGGGACAAAAAATGTAAGAACAAAGTAATAGGGAATGTATTAAAATGTAAATTATTTGCAGACTTCAATACACCTTCAAAATTAAAACAATTTGAAAATGAAATATTTAAAAACAAATTCTGTAATTATCTTAAATGGCCAATTCTACCTAAAACGAAGGATATTCAGTTAGGATTATTAATAATGTGTATCCAGCTGCCGAAATTTTACGTAAAAGATTCTGTTTTGAGGTAGATCCTTGTGTTTTTTGTTTAGAAGAGCCTGAAACCATTGAACATTTGTTTTTTCTTGTCCAGTCACATTGAAGTTCTGGCAGGATCTTTACAGCTGGCTAGATATCAACACTGATATTACATCACTAAATTTGTTTCAGGTTTTGGTTTGTGGCTATGCAGATGGTTGATGTTATGATGTCATTGATGTTAAACATTATTATTACAATGGGTAAATATCATATACACAAAAGTAAGTGGAATAACAGTAAACCCTCTTTAAATTGCTTTAAAAATGAATGTAAAAAGTACTTAGAATATTTAAAACACTTATCCAAAGATAATCAATCCCTTGGGGAATTGTATAAAACCATGTATGAGTCTCTTTCCTTTTAAGAATGGTAAGATTTTGTACCTTTTTTTTTCTTGCAACCCCCTGAAATGTTTAAAGAATGTTTGTTTTGTTTGTTGTTATTGTATGTATACGTATATATATATATATATATACACACACATTTATGTATGATGGAGATGTGATTGGAAAAGTGTATATTTTGTCATATGCATTTTATTCTTCCCCATTTGAGTTTGTAAATTTATATTGTTCAAAAAAAAAAAAAAAGAATTCGATCCAGGCACCATCTGCCATGTTGACGTTACAAGCGCAACAAGTCCCTGAGGAACTTCATGACAGCAGGATGCCTATCCGTGACAATCTTTTGAACACGGAGCCCTCTCTGCTCCAGCTGTCACAGGCATCGTTGCAACCCCTCCTTTTCCATGCGTTGGCTGTTACCGACATCATTGCTCTATGAAAAAAGATAAAATTGTTATGTTATTGCAAAGTAGTGATTAATTCAGAAAATGTCTCAGAATAATACCAGACATGTATATGTTAGCACTGAATTTACATTCATAAACAAAAAAATACCTGAATAAGCTGAATATCCATTATCCGGTTTGTGTTTAGGTCCATCACTGTGTAGGCCCTGCATAATTAATCATTAGAAAATTAATATTTTTGGTTGTTTAACTTTGAAAAATATGAAACACTGCATAACATAATATTTTTAGTAAATTACACATACCAGGAGAGTCTGCTCGCATGTCACCGCCCAAAACGGTGTCTCCACTGTTGATGGCCTCTGAAATAACTGTACCTTGGTGTACATTCCACAGCCAGTTTATTGTGGGGAAAAGTAAATTCAGTTGGTGTTTCAGGAAGGTTGTGTGACTAATTCCTTTGATATTATATGCCTGCAAGAACTAGACACAAAGAAAGAGGAAAGTTAGTCATACTACAATTGGCAGAGAGATTTCATAGGTGTGTAAAGAAAAAGTGCCTTGCCTTTTCCACTTGCAAGAAGGAGGCTCCACTAAAAATTACAGCTGCAGACAGCTGGATATTTCCTGTTTGTTTGCGACATATGGCTGACTTGTCCAAGTGTTCTGATGCTAACAGTGTGTGCAAACCTGCTCCACGCACAGAAGCATTCCCACAGTCATAGCATGTACAACACAGCTCCTTGTGCAGACAGGGCACTTCCTGAAGAGCTCAATGAGGTTTTCTTCATAAACAACAAACTTCCTCATTTTATAATGTGGGGTTTCAATCACTGTGCTAAAATACAGCAAACACAAAAACATGAAAATTAATTGATGTCTGTGCCAGATGTTTATTGCTAATGATATTAGCAGCAGGCAAATCAAAAAGTACACATACTCAATTACTCACCTCTCATCATAGATGCTGTGGTTAGTCACTTCTGGATGAAAGTGATGTCATCTGTAGCTTCTCTTCTAGGCCTTTTTACGGTGTTGAAACAGCTAGAGGGCCTTCCTCAAATGATGTGTTCTACATGATGGTACTGCAGCTAACATGTTTTCTATGCTGTTAAGTTTGAGTGCCTAATTATAAAAAAAAATTCAATTCACTTCAATTGTATTTAAATTCAAAATGATGACTAGAGGTAGAACAAAAAGAAGAAAAATCAATTCTTACTCTTGCTTCTAAGCTCTGGTTTCCATGTGTGCTGTGTGGATACATGCTTGATCGGCGAATCAACATCTGTTTGGCATGACGCATCATTTGTGAATACTTCTGTCTGAACCCCTTGGGTGCCGGTTAGAGCACAATAATTATATAAGGATGAGGACACAGGTGATCAGGTTTAGGAAATGTATTGATATGAGATTATCAATAACAGGCAGTAGAGGCATTAGTCTGGAACACAAGAAATACAATAAAAGATAATGAATAACTAACAATAATTAGGCATATACAATAATAAACATCCATTTGTACATAAAGACAGCCAAAGCATACTAAATCCTCATCAGTAACATGTTTTGGTGAAATATATAATCCAAGAAGGGAAATAAGGTATCACATTGTACATTATAAGCCATAAGCGATCATCTGACATGATAAACATCACTCCATATATGGATATAATCGCGGCACATCACAGTGATCGCTCGTTTGGCATCATGAACAGCTCAAAATGTCAAATCACGTCATAAAGGTATCATTGACAACCAAAACAGTGATATACATCTCAATAAAGAAGAAATAATCACATATAGAACAGCATCATTAAGCTAAACTAACAGAAACAACGGCTGCGGGCATGTCTGGACATGTGTGTGTGACGCAGTTATAAATAACTCAATACCGATCTCAATAAACACAAAAATAAAGCAAACAGGCTTACTTGTAGGTCAATGACTAACACCTCAAAGTAACTTCTGCAGGAAATATCAGAAATAAACAGGAATAAACGTCCTTTCAGCATTCAACAACAGCAGATATCAACTTCAGCAGGCAACAGCAGCTCAACTCACGAGACTACTCAGCCGGAAAATGACGTACAATGTCAGAATAAAAGCTCTCTCTTAAAGGAGCCTTTACAACATTGTAATTAGGAAAGGCGACTCTGTGCTGGAGGGTTAGAGACTCCAGGATAATCTAAAGGCAAGGTTGGTAGGACAACCAGGTGGGCCACTGGTCGGGTATAGATCCGATCCTTGATCTGCTATGACCATCGGGACTGAGATGTGTGAACGACTTTACTACCTACAGGCCATAAACCTCTGGGCAACTGAGGGTCGACAATCATGACGTAGGTATGCTTTCAGAGGTCAGGAGGCGTGGCTTGCCATTTCTGCCTAGTCTGCAGGGAAGGTAATCATGGATGAATCGGGACCAGAATTGATCGGCCAAGATCTGAGAATGTCTCCATCTTCTGCGACTTAACATCTCGGATTCTGGGTAAATGACTTGAGGTAAAGATCCATCCGGCCGCCCCATGAGGAGACTACTAGGGGTCACTGGGTAGGCATCGGCCACGTCGGAGGACACGTAACCCAAGGGTTTTGAATTAAGGATAGCCTCGACTTCCAACAAAACTGTCATCAGAACCTCTTCAGGGACAGACTGGGAACCCAGAACGGTGTACAAGGCTGACTTGACAGATCTCACTTCCCTCTCCCAAACTCCACCAAAGTGAGGGGCTGATGGCGGATTAAAGCAGAAGTGGATCTTCTGGCGTGCAAGATGACGTTGCAAGTCAGGAGCTAAGGCAGCATATGCTTCACGCAACTCCCGCTCGCCTCCATGGAAATTGGTCCCTCGATCTGAACATAACTGCGCTGGGGTGCCTCTCCTAGCGATGAACCTCCGAAGGGCCATAAGAAAGGAATCCGTACTCAGGCTAGGGAGTAAGTCCAAGTGTACGGCTCTAGTGGTAAGACACTTAAACAGAACACCCCAACGCTTCTCTGTACGTCTACCAATCTTGATTAGGAAAGGACCGAAGCAATCCATCCCACATGAATGGAAGGCAGGCCTGTGAAGCTGAAGGCGGGCAGAGGGTAGATCAGACGTCTGAGGCACGGAAGGCTGACCTCTCCACCGGCGACATTCCGGACAGGTATGTTGAAACCGTCGAACAGCTTCACGGCCTCGTAGGATCTAATAATGTCTGCGTATCTCTGCAAACAATCGCTCCGATCCAGGATGATGCAGCTTGTTGTCATAATGGCAGATGATCAGGCAAGTAACTGGATGTTTAGGGTCTAAGACTACAGGATGGAGAACATAATCTGCAAGGTCAGCCACTCTCCTCAAAGGACCACCCACTCTAATTAAGCCATTAGATGGATCCATCTCAGGGGCCAAGGCGACTAGACAGCTACTAGGTTTAACTGACTTTCCAGATTGTAACAGGTGGTAATCTTCAGGAAAGGATTCCTGTTGGACGCGTTTAAGGACATGGACTTCAGCACGACAATAATCTGTGGCTTCTGGAACTATGCCAGAATCTGGGTCACCTTGTAGGTCTCGGGCAGTGACATCCAGCAGGTCTATCTAGCAGGTCTATCCAAGTGGGGTAATTCCATCTATCAGGGTGGCTACAGGTGGTCGGTGAAGTAGTTACTCCACAAAAGGTAGACTTGCGCAACTCTGCTGGATCTTCACCAGGCTCAGAAGTACGAAGGACCGGCCATTCTCGAGGGTCAAGGAGAAGAAAAGTGGGTCCTCGGGACCACCGGTTTGGGGAAGCAAGGTAGGAAAGAGATCTCCCTTTCGTGAGGTCATCAGCAGGGTTATCTGCAGAGCTAACATAATGCCAAGAGCACTGATCGGTAAGCTCCTGGATCTCAGCGATCCTATTGCCAACGAAGACTCGGTAGCGACAGGACTCTGACTTTAACCACTGAAGGACCGTGGTAGAATCGGTCCACAGCACAGTAGACTGGATCGTCAAGGTCAACTCGTTTGCCTGCAACTTCGCAAGCTGGGCTGTGACTAAGCTCCCGCAGAGCTCCAACCTGGGAATGGAGTGTACTCTCTTAGGGGTAACACGGGAACGAACGATAAGGAAGGAGAGGTAGGTCTGACCGGTTGGGTCAACGGTACGTAGATGAGCTATGGCTCCGTAGGCTTTATCAGAGGCATCTGAGAAGATGTGGACCTTGTGAGTAACTCCCTCAGTCCTAACTGCAGGGGGGACATAAGGCCGGGGAAGAGAGACCCTAGGAAGGCAGCGAAGTTCTTCTTCCCACTGCATCCAGGAATGGAGAAGATCACGAGGCAGGTTGGGATCGTCCCACTCTCTCTGTTTGTTCCAAAGGTGCTTAACGATCACTTTCGCACGGGTTGTTTAAGGAATGAGCAGTCCCAGAGGGTCATACTGTGTAGCAAGGACCCGGTAAATATTCCGCAAGGTAGGGGTCGCATAGATCATGGGTCTGTGTTTATAGGACAAGGTGTCGGACTGCCAATTCCAACTCAACCCTAACGTGGACTCAGGGACATCTGCCTTCTCCTCCGTCAGCCACAACTCCACACTAGTCGCTCGAGCCTCAGGAGGTAGGTGACTTAATACAGCTGGATCGTTACAGGCCCACTGCCGGATCTCAAATCAAGCCCCAGACAGGATAGTGTGCAGGCGATCAATCAGACTCCAGGCTGCATCAGCAGTAGGTAGGGTCTGGAGACAATTATCTACGTAGAAACATCTTTCTACAGAGAAATGAATCTCCTCATCTGTTAAGGGGTGCTGATGAGTGTGGTGCTGGAGTGCGTAGATAGCACAAGGGCTGGAGGTGGTGCCGAAGGGTAGGACCAACCACTCGAAGGTCCGAGGAGCCTCATCCATCTGCAAATCTCGCCATAGGAAGCGGAGTAGAGGACGATCTTCAGGCAGGAGGCGAACCTGGTGGAACATCGCCTTTATACCTCCGCTCACAGCTACAGGATGCTCTCGGAAATGTAGGAGGACACCTAACAATGAGGCTCCAAGGGTAGGTCCGGGCAGTAGGTACTGGTTAAGGCTCTGACGGGAACAATTAAAGACAAGACGGGACTTCCCATTGTGGCTAACAATGTGGTGAGGAATGTACCAACACTCAGGGGTATCAGTAACAGAAGCAGGCACTACACGGACAGCTCCAGTTTCAAGGAGTCTCCGCATCTCCACTCAGTAGGTCTCGGCTTTCTCAGGATCTTTCAGCAGATGCCGTTCCATACTGCGGAGGTTAGGCAGGACTGAATCTCTCGGACCATTTAACTGAGGCATATCTCTATGACGAAGAAGGGGAGTGGCAAGGCGACGAACACCCTCGATCTCTAGGGTAAAGGCCTTGAAGTCAAGCAGCTGAAGGGCTTCCTGATCCTGCTTGGAACGAGTAACTTCTTTACACTCACGGTCAGGAACTGTATTCAACTGCCACAATTTCTGAACGTGATGAAGGAGCTCATCTTGGTCAAGAACCAAAGAGGTAAGCAGGCACTGGCGAGGAGTCGAAGGACAACCCATAGAAGGAACAGGACCCTGAAGTGTCCATCTCAGGTGGGTACGAACAGCAACTGGCGCTCCTGGGCCACCACATCGAACAGGCTCAGTGGGGGTGATAAGGTGCAGTTGGTCAGAACCTATAAGGAGCAAGGGCTGGACATCAGTAAGTGTATGAATAGGAAGGCCCCTAAAGTGTCTGTACTGCAGTAAAGGCGTGACTGATCTGATAACCGATCTGCGGTCGGTAGACGGGAGAAATCTGGAAGGATATGGAACGACCACGAATGACCTGAACATCGTCTCTGACTGTCCGTAATAGAAGGTCTTCTTGAACACCCTGAATGCCTAGGGCTTCAACGGCAGTGGACAGCAGGATTGTTCCCTCAGACCCGTCATCCAGGAGGGGCAGAGCTGCACTGGAACCACTTTGAGCATCACACGGCCGCTAACCGAAGGCTTATCCAAGAAGAACCTGTCTGAGGAGAAACTCTTGAAGCAACTCTTCTCCACAGTAGCAGAATCCTCAGTAGAGGAAGGACTGACATTCACGTCGTGAAGGGAGCGAAGATGTAGGCCACGGCAAAGACTGCAGGGCTTCTTCAGATCACATTGGGCAGCATGTTGGGATCTGGCACAGTGCCAACAGCGATTGTGACTACGGATCCAGGTCTTAACTTGATCAGGGGTAAGCTGGGCAAATGAAGCACACTGACTCAGGTAATGCTCAGACGCATCGCAGAAAGGACAATAACACTTCGATCTATCATGCTTCGCTGGCTGCATGGATCCTCTCCGAGGCATGGAAGACTCAACTGGGGAAGGGGACAAGGATGAGGATGGGGCTGAGGATGCTCCAACTCCATGCAGGATAGCAACAGATCTCTTGCCAGCATGTGAGCTCTTAGACATCAACTCTGCATCGTAACTCTGACACCAGGTCTCGTACCGAAGCCAATTCGAAAGGTCCACAAGGTTAGGGGTAGAACCAGGCTGATGAAACATATGGCGCCAAACTCCGCTCTCTGCTCTGGGGGAAGCTTGCTTAGAAGGCGTGCGACGTGGGAACCACAACTCAACTCCAACTCCCCATCACGTCCTAAGGTTCTCAACAGGCCGACCAGGCACTGAACTCGGAGAGCAAATCTCTGGAAGGCTGGGACTGTCAAGTACACTAGCTATCCTCCTCAAGGCCAACTGATGTGGCTGGCCGTACTTGTCACAAAGTGCTGACATAGTGTCCGTGAAGGGGGTAGAGGAATTCAAATTAGCATCAGCTATCATCTTAGCTTCCTCGAACTTAAGGTGGTCTACCAGGATCTGGTACTTAAACAGCTCAGTGCCATCTGGGGGGAGCAGGTTCTCCAGGGCGATGCGAAGGTGAGCGAACTCACTAGGATCTGGATGAGTAAACTTGGGGATCGTAGGAGGGGGGCCTACAAAAGGCTGGGACACGAGGATTGGCAGGCGCTAACTTGCCGTGGGCAGGCAATGGCATGGCACTAGGTGTGAGCAACTCTCTGAGGTCCTCGGGAGTAGGAGGCGGAGGGAATTCACCAACATCAGGAACACTAGGTCAAAGAGGGCGCGAACGAGAGGTAGGGAGCACCAAGGGATACTGCTGAGACCCTGAGACCACAGGCTGATAGGAAGTAGCTGCATCGGACAACTCAAAGTCACCTACTTGTCTAGCTAAGGCTGCATCAGGCTCAGGCCAAGGCGGTTGGAGGAAGATCAGGGAAAGGATCATAATCAACTACAGGAGTGGATACACAGGGCTTCACTGGAGGACTGGACAACCACAAAGCCGAGGGCTGCACTGGCAAAAGAGGCTGGCCTCTGGCTTGGCTAAGGTCTGCTCGAAGGGACTGCGCTGCTTGAACTAACTCTCTAACTTCTGCACGCACTGCTCTCAACTCTCTCAGGTCAGCTTCGAAGGCTGCACGCTCGTGGCGCAGGTGCTGTAGCTCACTGAGATGGGCAGAAGCATTTGAATCAGCTGCTGAAGGTGAGGAAGGGACTAGCTGAGGGCCCACTGCAGGCTGATAACTGGATGTCAGGATCTGTGAGCCATCAGGACGGACACGGTCACCACCAGGAACAGTAACACATGGCTGAAAGGACAGGGACCAGGCTGGAACAGGTGTCTCCACAGTGCAGAAAACATCAGGCTCGGAGAAAGTTCTGTGTCGGGGAAACTGCACCTCATACTGCTCTAGGTAGGTTGGAGGACGAGTAAGACTCTTAGGGCGAGCTCTGCCAACTATCTCCTCATCAGAGGTATCAAGATGCTGGGGAAGTCGTGGCCTAATGGTTAGAGAGTCTAACTCGTAACCCAAAGGTTGCGAGTTCGAGTCTCAGGTCCATCAGGAATTGTAGGTGGGGGAGTGAATGTACAGTGCTCTCTTCCACCTTCAATACCACGACTGAGGTGCCCTTGAGCAAGGCACCGAAGCCCCAACTGCTCCCCAGGCGCCGCAGCATAAATGGCTGCCCACTGCTCCGGGTGTGTGTTCACGGTGTGTGTGTGTTCACTGCTGTGTGTGTGCACTTTGGATGGGATAAATGCAGAGCACTAATTGAGTTTCGTACCGGCAGGGATTGTAGGTGGGGGGGGTGAATGTACAGCGCTCTCTCCCACCTTCAATACCATGACTGAGGTGCCCTTGAGCAAGGCACCGAACCCCCAACTGCTCCCTGGGCGCCGCAGCATAAATGGCTGCCCACTGCTCTGGGTGGGTGTTCACGGTGTGTGTGTGTTCACTGCTGTGTGTGTGTGCACTTAGGATGGGATAAATGCAGAGCACTAATTCCTAGTATGGGTAACCATACTTGGCCACATGTCACGTCACTTTCACTCTAAAGATAGTGAATAACTAACAATAACTAGGCATATACAATAATAAATATCCATTTGTACATAAAGACAGCCAAAGCATACTAAATCCTCATCAGTTTTGGTGAAATATATCATCCAAGAAGGGAAATAACGCATCACATTGTACATTATAAGCCATAAGCGATCATCTGACATGATAAACATCACTCCATATATGGATATAATCGCGGCACGTCACAGTGATCGCTCGTTTGGCATCATGAACAGCACGAACAGCATGAACAGCACGAAATGTCACACATATCACGCTAACAGACGCTCACATCCACACTGGCAAGGCAACACTGTTACTGACGCCTTCACTTCCTGGTCAAAAAGCTGTCAATCAAAAACTCAGTAGCCAATGAGAACACACCGATGCTAGCCCCGCCCCCACGAGAGATTTGTGTCAGAATGGCGAACGAAAACTTCAGAAGCGTAAATGAAAACTTTAGAAGCGTAAATGAAAACTCTGGAAGTGCATTTGTAAGTACTTTCAAAGACATTTTATTCAGTTTCAATTTATATTTTCATAAGTTTCTTGAAAAATTACATTCATTTTAATTGGCACAAAGGTAATCCCATACAAAACTGGATTCCACTAGTCCCCAAATCACAAAGTTCTCTGGTGCAAAATGTTTGTTACAAACATATTTTCCAGTTGTGTTGGTAGAACACGGCAAACCAACCGCCTGCACCCAAAGTTCAGCTCTGATTAGCTCAGGGCCAGCTGACGTAGATTCGTAAAAATATAAAAATAAAAATAACCAATTTCCACTTATTGATAACATTTATGAGTGCGTTTAGTCTTTTCAGTGATGTGCAGCCAGTACATATCTGTTCCCATCTCAAAAAAATGTGTTTTGGGATTTTATGACCCTTTAAAAGATATGAGTGACAGGCTTAATTGATCTCTCTGTAAATATGTTGATGTTTATGAAATTTCCTCATTTTGTGGTCTTGTTGAAGAAACAGCTGCCCTTTTATTGTGATTGTAGTATAACCAATAAATTTTCGGTTGATTTCTGTTATGACCCACAGTTTAATCCTTAAATATATTATTTTTCCTTACGATAACCCAAAATTGTTATCTCTTGAATATATATATATATATTTTATGTGCACAATTTTTCATCCTTTGTTTTCCTCTTTTTCTTATTGAATTGAACTCTCTTGTTGCATCCCTCTGGCTTATAAACAACAACAACAAAAACAACAAATGCAGGCATTGATTATATGAATATAATGAATATTATGATTATTCAAAGATATTTAACCTTGTCATTGTGCCTTTTTTCTCTGTATATAATCTCATACTATGGTGTGCAAACCCATTATATTTATATTTTCTGCTTTTTGTGATTATGATCATTGTTAAAGATACTACCATCTTTCCCTAAGCTTGTATGTAATTATAAGTTCTGCAGTAATAATAAAAAAAAGAACATAAGATGGACAGGTGCACTAACACCTCACAGCATCAGTAGCTCCACAACCCTACCTAGTATGGTTTTCCTCAGCGTTTGACCTTCACCTGTCTCTGCTGTCCATCACGACCATCACTGCTGCAGTTAGACTGAATCTGATCATGGATGAGAAAGGGACATCAAGGCTGTTGTTGCCTGAGTGCACACAATACAAAATGTAGGGTATCAGACCGAATCAGACAATTTAAGATTTGGTCAAGAACATGGCTGAAACATGAGGAGCCGAATTCCACAGAGGCCCAAGACACAGGATGTTCGTAAATCAGATCCTGGCGCCAC